TGCTGCACCCGCACCTCGCTCAGCCAGTGAGCGGGAACCGGTCTGTATGTGGGATCCGAACCCTCGGCGGGAGCACCGCCACGCTCCCAAGCGGCGCACTGTAGCAGTGCGCCACCAGGCCGGCCCTGCTTTAGGTATTTCTGAGGGACTTCTTGGATCTCTCAGCTCTGGGATGGGGCTGGAAGCTGGTGTCAAAGCTGACAAAATGGCAGGTTAGCAAAGGCGCCAGGGTTAGGGCCCAGACCATCCTCGAGGGGAAGGAACCAAAGCAGTCTGATGTGGTGTTTGAGACTCATGTGACCCACATAACTCCATGATCAACACAAAAGCCTTGTTAGGCAGATCTCCAGAGTGGCTCTGTCCTAGTCTTACTCCATCCAAGAAAGCTTTCCCTAGTAACTCCCACACTGATCTTGTCCTTTTCTGATCTTCCACAATTATTGATTGCACCATGCTCATTTTAGCACAGTAATTTGCAAACATCTGACTCATACAGGCGCATTTTGTTTAACAATCCTAGCACCTGAAGGACAGGGGTGCTGTGCTGCTGCTTTTCAGTGGTTCTCTGTCCCTTGCAGCACCATGCCCAGCCAAAGCTGAGCAAAGAGGCGCTGCATAGTTATCAATAGAATGGCCAGCAGGCCTGAAGATTCTGCATTTCTGTGGCAATCTTAGGCTTAGAGGACATGTAGAGGTCTGGAGCTCAAGAGCACCAGCCTGAAGTATGAAGGCACTTCAAAAAGTTCACAGAAAGATTCACATTATCTTTTTTTTTTTTGTCTTTTGTCTTTTTCCGTGTCCGGCAACGGATCGCAACCCTCAGTGTTGCCCCCGTCCCGGACCGGGGACCGGCAACGGGATCGCAACCCTCGGTGCTGCGTCCGCTCCTCGCTCAGCCAGTGAGTGGGAACCGGTCCACATGTGGGATCCGAACCCTCGGGCGCGAGCGCCGCCGCGCTTCCCAAGCGGTGCACTTATCCAGTGTGCCACCGGGCCGGCCCCACATTATCTTTTAATTCTATTTTTCCACAAACTTTTTGAAGTACCCTTGTATTTCTCTGACTCACCTGCCTTCTTGTAACTAGGACTCTCCTGTCGCTGCTTCTCTCAGGAGTCACAACATGTAAAAATAAAATATGATCCTAAGGACCAGCAAAGGCTAATAAACACATATGAGCAAGTGGATATACATCATTGGTTAAACAATTTTGTACAAAGGGTTATAGTGATCAGCCCAAAAGGTAAATCAGTCACGAGAACACACCTTAGGTGTCAGATAGTAATCAGTCCAGAGGGGGCTTCCTTCCTTCCTACTTGGAAATTTTTCTCAATTCTCCCTACAGCCCCTTTAAAACTGCATAAGCATTTAGCACAAATGTCATTACCTGGTTTACTTCCAGAGACATTAGGTGGCTTCTTTATTTCCGACTTCAGTTTAGATGCCAGAATGAATCTCCTAAACCACTCCTCTTTTTCTCGGCCAGTTCTCCCAAAGAGATACAATATCTGATCTCGCTGGCCATATCTTGTTCCCTCTTGGGGGAGGGGTGGCTTCTTAGGGTCCTCGCTTCCCTCAGCCGGTAGCTTTTCTTCCACCGTCTCCTTATCAGTCTGAGCCTTAGACATAAAGTCTTCTTGACGACCAAGCTCGATACAAATGGGGTACTTTTTATTCCAGACTCGTTTTCGAGCCAAACTTTTAGGTACAAGGTAAATCTACAGAGAAAGGGAAATGATAATTTACATACTAAATTACAGATTAGCTATACTGTGCATTAATATTACACATAGCACAGATGCAAAGTTCATAGAATTTTTGAACTAAAATGATGAATCTTAAATAATTTTTACGTCTATAACATGACTATAGGATTTGGAATAAAATTTTAGATATGACTTGTTATTCTTTAAAATCACTGTAGAAAGCAGAGGTTTAAGAATTTTGTAAGGTTACAAATATCTATACTTATCAGGTAGCGGTAGCACTGTAACTGTTTAGCTGTTTATCATCAACTAAGTTTGGATATCAACTGAGCTTAATGACGCTGGGCCAAACATAAGCTGGAAAAAGGGGAAAAAAAGAATTTATCAAACCAGATGGAAAGTTCACGTCAAACTTGAGTATCAACCTCAAGTTCATAAATTTATACAAAAACTATTTTAAGTACATCCATCACTCTGGGGAAACTTAAAGGTCATACCAATGAATTATAATAATAACAGAGAAGCTATAGCTTTGTGGAAAAACAAATAATTTACATTTCTCACAAAAACAGAAGTACTTTGACACTTTTATCAAAATGTAGTTCTTTTGCATATCCATAACTTTCACATTTATAGAGCCCTCATTAGTTACTGACACCACCTCGCACACAGCTTTTTGTTTGACTACAAGAATTAATTCTTAAAATGATGCCCTTGCTCCTCAGAGTGTGGCCCATGGACAAGCAGCATGACTATCACCATTTCACATTTATAGAGCCCTCATTAGTTACTGACACCACCTCGCACACAGCTTTTTGTTTGAATACAAGAATTAATTCTTAAAATGATGCCCTTGCTCCTCAGAGTGTGGCCCATGGACAAGCAGCATGACTATCACCTGGGAACCCATAAAAATGCAGGCTCTCAGGCCCCACCCAAAACTGCTGGATCGGAATCTGCATTTTTAAAAGATGTGCAGGTGATTCCTATGTACATTAAAGTTTGAGAGATACTGCCCTAAAGTACTGAGAAAATATTTTGTAATTTAGGGGAGTACTTTATACCAAAACTTAAAGGGGAAAATGCTTCAGTGAAGCAACAAGGATTCCAAATGCTTTTCCCTTATCTAAGCTCTCCTTCCAAAATTACTCAGGCTCACCTTGCTGTCCGTGAGGTCATAGATTTTCTGACTGATGTAGGTAACCTCTGGCTTGGTTTCATTGTAGCTTGCCCTCCTGGATATATTTTTATTGGGCTTTGAAAGTCTTAAGATTCTGCCCTCGAGTCGAACAAAGACTGAATGTGTCAAAGTCGCATGGTAAGTTTCTGGATCATAGTTGTAAATCTCATTCATCCATCCCTGATGAAGAAAAAGTTCAATTAGTAAAAATTAGAATGAACACAAATCTGATTCAGTGTGGACATGATGAACTCTGTGGTATTTGGGACACTGGAACCAAACTTGACCAAACTTGAATCATAACTCAGGTGTCAATTTATTGATAACTAGAGGTTGCTGAGACAGTGCTTAGCTGGAAAGATAATAAGTACTCAGGAATAACTCAGTATGTTTTTGATAGCTAAAAATCTGGATATGCGGGGAGAATGACAATGTCCACTATCCTAAATATAAAAGGTTCTTTCTTTTTTTAAGGCAGACAAGAAGGTCAGGAAACTCAAAAATTTTATTCATGTACTTTGCCTAATCTCCTCTGGGGGTGAGTAATCCCACACAGTCTGGCTTTCTTTTTCTTTTTTTCCCTTTATTATGGGGAGTTGTCCTGTGTCTTGTAAGATATTTAGCAGCATCCCAGGCCTCAATACTCTGGATGCAAGTAGCAGCAGCACCCCTAATCCCTGACTACACACAGTTGTGACATTCAAAAGTGTCTTCAGATACTGACAAATGCCCCTGTAGGGTAAAGATGCCAGATTTAGCAAAACAAAAAAGCAGAAACAAATCTAAAAAACAGGGTATACTTATACAAAAAATATTTGTTTACCTGACATTCAAATTTAACTGGGTGTTCTGCATTTTATGTGACAACCCTAAGAGAGGGGAATATCTTCCCACCCCACTGAGAACCACTACTCTAATGTATTATTATGCCTATAACATTTTCTACTTCATTGCCTCTCTCCCAGCCTCATCCTCCCTTCCCTTTCCAGGCAAACTCTTCCACCATGCCCTCTGGAACTAATGATCCACAACCTACAAAACCCCCTGCCATTCTCAGGCATTTTCTCCAATTTCTTATCTTTATGAAAATCTGGCTCTTAAATTCACCACTTTCCCTTTGCCAACTCAGACGATGGCTCTTTCTACCCTCAGGTTCCACATACCTCAGGGATGAGAAGTGTAAGGAAATTTGGAATAAGCGAAAATATAACTTGGTGTTTCCAGTGGAAAACTATACATTCTTTACAGCAGATCCTTCCAATGTATCTGAATCTAGATTTTATTGCCTTTGAGGTATTCTACAACTCTGTAAATTATAGATAACTGATAGCAGTGCAAAATAATTCTTACCTATGCACATGCAAATAAACTCTGCCCAGTGAAGTTCAATTGACTTGCCTCCCCTACTGTGGGAAAAAGCCAGTTTTGCCTACATTTTCAAATTCATTTTAATATTCCTGATCTATAAATGTGGATTCACCTTTGGACGTCTTACTGGTTCTCTCATTAATAATGATTTAACTAAAATCTTTAGCTTTCATTTTTCATTTTACATCTGAATGAAAGTCATGACTTTTCCTTTTTAGAAACTTTTTTTTCCTGTCAAAGAATAAAATTATAACAAATTTAGTTGAAGATCTCAATTGGCCTTATTGTGATTCTACAATCAGGCAACACATCAGTCCATAAACCAGAATAAGTGTTCCACCACTCTTGGCTTTCTTAACTGGCCAAACACACACTTTTCCCATATACCTGCAGACATATAACCCTTTTAAAGTCTGTAGGGTCTGTGGTGTCCCCTCTTTCAGTCCTGACTGGTAATTTGTGCTTTTCTCAAACCTTTCTTCTTTTCTAATATAATCTTTAAATGCTATTAATCTCCCTCTAAGCACTGCATTTCCTGTAATTTTTGATATGTTGTATTTTTTTATTTCATTCAATTGAAAATATTTTCTAATTTTCCTTATGACTTTACCTTTGGACCCCTGGGCTGTTTAGAAATGTGTCATTTAATTTCCAGATATGTAGGAACTTTTCAGATCTTTCTTATTGATTTCTAGTTTAATTTTATTATGATCAGAGAACATGCTTTGTATAATTTCAATTCCTTTAAATTTGTTAAGGTTGTTTTATGGCCTAGAATATGGTCTATCTTGGTAACAGTTCCATGTGCACTGGAAAAAAAAAATGCATTCTGCTGTTGTTGGGTAGGGTTTTCTACAGATGCATATGTCTTTTTAAACAGAAACATTTTGGGCCGGCCCGGTGGCGCACTGGAGAGTGCGCCGCCTGGAAGTGCGGCGGCGCTCCCGCCGAGGGTTCGGATCCCATGTGGAGACCGGTTCCCGCTCACTGGTTGAGCGTGGTGCGGGCGCAACACCGAGGGTTGTGATCCCGTCGCCGGTCCCCGGTGCGGGCACGACACTGAGGGTTGCGATCCCATTACCGGTCAGTAGAAAAGACAAAAAGGAA